TTAGCTCTGCTTCATAAGCTTCGTGCCTACGGTATCCATGGTTCCGTACTCACCTGGCTAGCAGCATATTTGCATGACAGAACGATCAAGGTCAGAGTCGCCGATGCCCTCTCGGAAACCCTCTGCATCTCCAGCGGTGTTCCTCAAGGATCCGTCCTTGGTCCCCTCCTTTTTCTGGTCTATATTAACGACCTCCCGGATAATATTCAATCCTCGATGCAAATTTTTGCAGATGACGCAAAAATCTGGAGAGTTATTCGCTCAACATCAGACTGTGCCCTCCTCCAGTATGATTTGGATCGAATCAACAAACGGGCAGATATAAACCACCTCCCCCTGAATCCTGCCAAGTGTCACCTACTGTCATTGCGCTGCAATCTTACCAACACGTACCTCTTGGGGCAGTACGTTTTACGGCGCGTGATCACAGAAAGAGACTTAGATTTCATTATGCAAGAAAGTCTGGGGAAGTCGCTCCAATGTTCGAAAGCAGCAAACGTGGCGAACATGAATCTAAAACTTTTGAGGCGAGCTTTTGGTGTTTTTGAACGACGGTTGGTACCCATGCTTGTCAACTCCTATATCCGTCCCCACGTCGAATATGCCGTCCAGGCTTGGTGCCCATGGTTAAAACGGGACATTCATCTCTTAGAGCAGCCCCAACGAAGAGCTACGAAGGCAACACGCGGATTATCTGCTCTCAATTGTGAAGTGCGTCTCAGTTTAATCGGAATGTTTTCCTCCGAATACCGACGACTACGCGGAGATCTCATTCTCGTATACCGGATATTAACGGAAAGCGATCACCCGTGCAAATCGCTGCTCACCCTAGCCTCATATAAGTGATCGAGAGGTCATAACCGCAAGCTGATAATCCAACACTCCCGATTAGACTGTAGAAAATATTTTTACTCTCTTAGAATCTGTCCACAATAGAATGACTTGCCAGCGCATGTGGTAAACGCTCCGAACATTACAGCCTTCAAACAATTGTTAGACATTCATCTGATTGACAAACAACACATTGTGGTGTGATGTACTAGGTTTAGACTATTGGCGTTTCAGTTCCATGTCGGAATCTAATGATTTTTCTTTATTTTGCATTTACCATCCTATGGGTCGTGTAAAGCCAATGCTTTTTATCCCATCATACACTATTGAACATTTGCGGGCTCCATTTCCGAAACGCGAGAAATCAGTAATCTGGGGCATCAGGTTTAGTGTGACGGGGCCAGAATCCAGAGCGGCTGCGGTGCTTACGGTTTAAAATGAACTCCTCGATCTGGCGCTGAAGCGACGCTATCTGCGATGATAATGCGTCTATTGTCCAGGGCTCGCTAGTCGCGGATGTCGGTGTGGTTGTGCCAGTGCAAAGCTGCCTAAGTGCTTCGGTTTCAATCTCTGGCTGGTGTCATTCGATGACACAGTCTATTAGATCTGTGATTGGCAAGTCGCTAGCTACTGCAAGGGTGGCCTGAGTGCTTTCAGAAAGGCATTACATCCACAGCTCGCGGAGAATCCTTACGTCCATGCTGGACGTGCCAGTGAGCTGTTATAGCGGAATCGTTCGGTCGCTATATGTCAGGTTCGTGCCGCCTCAAGGAAAAGTCGGAAAAAGACGGTGAGATAGAGATTTATTGTCGAAACGTAGAATCCCGTTAGCTGAAAACACCGAAAAATGGTTTTAGCTAGGGGAAAGTTATAGTCGCCAGCCGAGACGTAGCGAACACTTTTCGAGGCGGAAAAGTCAGAAGCGCGTGAATACGATTCGTCTGGATGACTCAAACACACGTAGTCATCGTGCGAACATGCAAGCTTCCTAAGTTGTCTATGTACAGAATATTATATTTTAAAAATATTTTACGCAGACAAACAGGACAATCTCCAGGTCACTACACTGTTGCATTTCGCGCAACAAGGCTGACGACGTCCTATCTTCTGGTTGCAGATCACTAGATAGTTGCTGCAGACGGAATTTGTCAGGAGGCGTAATTCACTGAATAATAGCTTGTTTAAGTGTCTCGTAATTCATTACAGGAGGGGGACAAATATGTTGTCTCTCACCTGTGAGGATATACTCTAAGTGAGGCTAGATATTAGCTGATTATACGTGGCGAAATCAGAAGAAATCATACGTAAGTGAAAATGGATTCTATGTGCAAAAACCATAACGAAGGATCATGCTCCCAAAAAGGTGGAGGGGCTAACGTAACAGTAGCGAGCATGAAAGGCTCTACGGCTCTAACCGAGTATGGAGATGATTTGACCTCTAGATAATCCACTGCAAAAAAGCGAATAAAAATTGTAGTACGTAACAAAACAAGATGATCACAATTAATAAATCACAGTCACCGGAACGAGCTCATCGGAATGAAAATTCAAAATAGCAGGGTCACCAACTGTTGGGTTGCGCCTGGGATACTAGTCGATAATCAATGACACGCAAGAGATGTGTCAACTACGGGACAAGGTAGAAGTTGGAGGCAACTGAACCCAATGTGTATTGTGCCAGTTATAAAAGTAGGAGGCGAATCAACAGGAGCAAGAAGCGGTGCAGCAAGGTAATCACCAAAACAGTTTACGAAAGCGGAAGTGCCGTCCGTAAAACAAGTGGACGTTTTGTAGGTTAAAACAAAGGTAAAGAAAACCACGGTAAGAAAATGTTGCAACGTACTGAAAGAGTGTGCTTTCAGGTACACTACAAACTAGAGTGCGTCCGCTGCTTTGTTTATCTGCCTCATTTCTTAAACGAACTTTACGTTTCGGACGAAACGATCTAATGCGGTTTGAACACGCTGTTCCTATTTTAAGGATGTTACCGCACTTTTTTGAAAAGCACAAGTAGCAGCACATCAGGTTTGGAATTTTGGCTGTGCCTTCTTGGTCACGTGTAGCTTATGATGGTCACTGCAACTGCCGGCGGCAGCACTGAAACAATTTTTAGTGTCCGTCACAAGTAGGACGTCTACATGCGTGCGCACACGAGTGTTAGAAAAGATTAAACGACTGATTGATCAGTGCAAGCAGCTTGCCAACGAAGCTGGAAAACAAGGTATAGGTGCGCGAAGCTGAATACCAGTGATGGGCAAACAATGAATAAAATTTGTTCTTGTTTGCCCTAGTATAAGCAGCATATAAGCCAATCTGGGTTTGTTAGACGTCTTAGAGATTGCTGCATCGAACGCAGCAACACAGTTGGTTAAGTGAGCAAAACGCGGTAAGGATGTACACGAAATCTGCTTAAAAGGGCTAAACTTGTTGGAACAGTAATCGGTAGGAAACACTTCAGTGAAAGGATAAATTTGTGCGGTCCGAGAGAGTATGAACTCAATGTGCTATGGGAAGAGCGTAAAATCGATGCGATCTCACCGCAGGATTCATCAAGGCTGTCTTGGTTAAGTCAACTAGAAATCGTTCAAAAACTCAAGCACATGGTACCTAAATTAGCGTCTGTGGATTGGAAGATTGTCAAACCGTATAAGGAAGACTCGAGGTTATTTAGCTCAACTTCGCCTATTAGGTAGCAGGCGCCACACCATACTCGCTTTGAAGGGTCGAGTTTACTATTCAACCGTCCATTTAAACCTACTGTACGGCTGTGAAACCTGGTCTATCAGATTAACAGACGTAAAGGAGCTATCTGCGTTCGAAAACCGGTGCCTTCGCTTATGTGGTAGTCTGGTGGGAACGCCCCACAAGCGATAAAAGTGCCTTGAACCCTGTATTTACCACAGGAAGAGAAAGTGAACTGGTCAGCACCATTATATCACACACAAAACTCCGATGTCTTGGCCGCGTGTTGCGCATGCCAGTACACCGACTCCCGCGAGATGCGTTGTTGGCGCGACCGGAATCTGAATGGAAGAAAGAGGTCACCCGGGGAATTGGTCAAGAGGGATGAAGGCCATCATTTCGAAATTAGTGTTGGTTAGAGCCTCTCGACTATCAGGTCGAGTTCCGAACGACGATGATCACGTTTGGCTGTGGACACCTGTTAAGGTGGTGAAGAGCCGACCTCAATGGCTTTGCTGTTGCGAGTTCCTTTGTGCTGCCCTATCCCGTTTAGTATCCCTCTCAAACCACGATCACAACTTCAATGCATAATAATGAGTATAATATCACTTTTTCTATCTTTTACATTATCCGTAGGTTATTTATTATTTCCTTCTCTCAAGTATCCAAGTGCATTATATTGCGGTAAAACGGCTGAAGTGTTCTCACTTCCAGCTAACGTGTAAAATGATCCATGGTGGTAACGATAAAGTCACTAACCCGTTGATTAGTACCCTTCAAAGACCCGCCCATTAAACATTACTTAAAATTCAATCCTACTTGAGCTGCTTAGCAAAACATGCATACACTGAGTAGATACCCGCAGTGTGAAGAGCGAAGTGTCCTGGTATTGTTAACTTAAACATAAAGTACGATAGCTGTCTTGAAAATCCGGAAGCCACCCAGTGAATACCTAGACCACCCGCTACTCCTTCATAAGTTTCAACGAGTTACAAGTCCAGTACTTTAATGCGCTTCTCCGAGTTATCAAAGTGCGCTCCCAACGAGAACACAAGACTTAACAGATTGAATCGGTGAAATTCAGTAAACTGTCAGTCATGAGACTTGTACAGAGGCGGTCGTGCACTAGCTCCAGACGGTGAAGGGAGTGTTTTCTGACAGTTTCTAAACAGTGATAACAAATGTCGTCAGGCGCAATGATGGGAATTTGGACAACGATGGTTCTCTCTCCGGGATAAGCTGCATGTCTCCCTCTTCTTGTTTTACCCATCTATGTGCCAAATCCCCAGACATTTTGTGTTTCATGTTGGTAAGTTCCCTGTTCCCTGTTTATTCTACATTTGCACACGCAGGCGTCGCTATTTTTCACTAAGCAATGAAAAGGCAACATAGCTGACTATACCTGGAATACGGAAGAAACTTAGTGATAAAACAGTCAATCAAACTTACGTCATATTTTACCGATATTTTTTCCGTATACATTTCAGCCAACAAGTTCTGTATCAACCGACCGCCCCATCGATAAATCCGCGGTACGTCGACGTATGCTTCCCAGTTTACGGACGGAGGCAAGTACCGACGCTCAGGACGAAAAGTGTGGACCCTTGAACCTGAAGTCTGCGCCAATACTCCGCTCAATCGACAGCGCCAGGCGTTTAGAATAAAATGGGGTTGAAATACATCACAAAGCACATGATTGCCAATGATTGCATTGTTGTACCAATTATTCATCGAAGGACATATTGGTATTGGTAGTGAAGCACATAGTTCGATTACAAATAAGGTTACTCAATGAGCTACGAGCAATGAGACAATGCCACACAGAAGCCATGCAGTCAACCAATAACCGCCAAACTGTTTCGGGCAGTTGCGAAGAAATAGTTGCCGGTGTTAAGCGGATAGTCCATCTGTGTTAATCAACTTATCAATCGAAAGCGGTCACCCACCTCGACTGAACTCATCTGCTGCATTTGTGTAGTTTGGCCGTGTGCTTTGTCAACTTATCTGTAATCAGATGCACATATCACAAATATACTACACCGTGCGCCTTGCGGTTTCCACAGACGGAAAGTTCAACATTTATCTGTCTAAAGGCGCTGCAGTGAAGCTGTAAACTCACGAAGTGCCTAAGCAAAGCGAGTTAAAAGAAGAATTGTCTGATAGACCTAAATGACAAGGTCAAAAACAGGCTTTTTCGGCGGCAGAATTGACGGCTAGAATCCTAATAGTATAGCACTATTTCCATTGATTTATGTTACCGAAATTGTGTTTCAACTTAATGGACAAAAGGAAACACCATTTACTCTCAATAACCGGAAGCTAACGACGTAAACAGGTGGCAGGGTACTGAGCGGCCTGTAATGAGATTGGTTCTGTTCTTGCGTGAATCCAACAAAAACAGGATGACAAACGTAAAGTGCTGCCCCAGTTGACTAAATGACACTCCGCGACCGATTTCGTATGTATTTGCAATTCTCATGTAATGATAGGAAGATGGAGACTCGATCTCGAAACGTAGTGACTATTGGCTGCAGCCACTGTACCTTACACCATCAAGTTGCGAGTAGCGCTTGTCAAGGCAAATAACGGTCCGGTTAAATGCCCTTTGCGCGAATGGGTCTTGATATGCTATCTCAATATGGACCGTGATTCACCTCGAGATGAATCGCACTCAATTCGATCACTAGGACCGTATCTGAGGAAGAAAAATATCGGGTGGTGATCGCTCGCTACACAGCACACCATGATCAGTTTCTCCGTTACCTCACTAGTCAGGTAGAACTAGTCGTACATGTCTAACGGTTGCGATCAGCCATGAAACTACCTTAAAAGCGATTTGTGCCACCAATTGCAGTGCAGTTATTGTGTCCGTAAATTACTCGATCTTTTCTTAAATCGTTTGAAGAAAAGTGATCACTGGCAGATTTAATCGGGCATATACCAAGTGTAGCAAGGAACCGCTAGTTAATTCACTACGAATCCAATAGATCGACGGCAGTTTATCAGGACGTGGAGCGTTTTCGCCTGACAAGCGTTCTCCCAATAAAAAGCCACAAATGTCCGTTTAACAACACTGCGACGTGGCAGATGTGACTCACCACCGAATAAAGTCACAGCCCATGATTTCACACTGGCAAGTCAACAAGTGTCACATTTCATCATTCTTGAAACGTTCGTTACACTGAGACTTCTACATTTGCATATACTGTCGTCTCCTCTTTCTACGATTTCAGGCATATACTGTCATCTCTTTTCTTTTTACGACTTCATCGTCGATCTTTGCGTTACGTACACACGAACTCAGTTTATCATCACATCTCTCTCGATCTTACTCTTTAATTACCTTCTAACCGATCATCCGAAATTCTTTATCCATGATTGGCTGAGGTATGACTGTAATATATGCCAGAGTGATTATGTCCTTACAAACGGGTCCTGATCTCACGACAGCGCAATTATTCTTTTTACATTTGCACTGTTGTACAGTTCCAATCATGAACGTTTGAACAATTTTCTACTGTCGCTGTTACAATTACCACAAAATGTCGATACAGTTGCACTTTCATGATCATGCCTCCATGGGTGTGCCTCGCATCACCGAAAATAAATATTTATTTATTTACTTTGTCACTGATACGTATTCCATCCAGTCGGAGGAGCTTCGAAGCTGTGAAGTTACCTTTCTAAGGCAGCTGTTGAAATTGCCGAGCTACTGAGAACATCAATTTACGAAGGGATAACCAATTAGTCATAAAACATCGCAGCTCATCATCCATCGCCTACTTGCTTCTAAATTTGTTCCGCTACATGTGTAAGTTAATGACCAATCACAACTTGCAAGGAAGGGCTACTGGTGCTCCATCTGTAGAAGGCATACAAGTTTAGACATGGGATTAACGCCATTTCACAAAGCTCTTCTGGCCTATTACTGTTCACTGGATATTAGAAGCATGATACTTGCGAAGAGAACTCTTTTCGGCAATTCACTTCAGGCAGCCACAATTACAAGACAGATAAACGTACAGGTAAGCGAACGCTGAGGATGTGATCGGTTGAACGAAGTCGATCAATAGTCCACTCGATACAGTCAGACGTCATGAGTCGCGCGAGCACGCGTGGAGACACACAAAGCACAGACGCGTTTGCCCGCAGGTCTACAATGATCACTCTCAGTCGTAACCGCGGTCCGACATTACGGCCACGGCAACAGTATAGATTGTAACAGTGTTCTCTGCACGAATCCCGCTGAAGTGTTCTGATTGCAATCGCTTCAGCGGTGGCCAACAAGCGCTTTCTGATTCCTTTAGGGTTGCGCCTCGGTGCCGTGTGGACTACCTTGAATGCGTCATTAGTCAGAATCTGATGGCTGGTACTAAGCAGATTTTCGAGGATTGAGCTGCGGACATTCTTAACCATACCATGTTGCGAAGAGGCAGGGCAGTGCTCTGCTATTCGCCTAGATAGACGCCTGGTTGTATGCCCGAGATACCTTGCACCACAGGTGAAGGTAAATTGATATAGAACAAAAGATTCGGAACGAACCGGGATTTTATCTTTGAGGCGTTGCGTGACGAGCGGAAATGTTTCAGCAAATATATGAACTTTAGCGGCCGGATTTGTCTTGCTTACCGCCAGTGATAGTCTCCTATTCAGTAAGTGGAAAGCGATATCTCCTTTGAAAGGAACAGAGGTAAACATCTTCCTTTCTTGCAGTCGGTATCGCGTTACTTTGGTCAGAAACAGCGGAGTGCTTTTTGATATTACACATGGTTGGCGGCATCCGGTTTCGGATTTGCCTATCACTGTGGCAAGCCACAGGGCGCCTGCGCCTACAGAGGGACCATGGATGGTTTGCGCTGCACCACCCACAGCTCCAACCACACACCCCATATCCAGTGTAAACCCGAAGGAATAACACCGGGAGGCATGTGGATGGGAGCCACGTTTCATCAACGGAGCTGGCCCACACTCATTCACGGGCAAACACAAGCACGCTGTATTTGGGGAATCAACCGCACACAAGGCGGTGGCTGGACCGTAGTCCGCTCCATACTGAGTGCACGGAACCACTCTTCGAGCCTAACACGGCCACAAGAACCGTGCACCCCGTCCCCTCCAGCAACGACCAACTGTCTCCTGGAGCCAGTATGAACGAGGTAGTGGGTAATAGACAGGTAGGTACCTTGTCAACATGCACATCAAGCGCAGCCACACCGGGGATATCAAGCAACAGCCATTCACTTTAAACGACAAGCTGAAATTAAATAAATCCAATAATGCATACAGATACGGTGGCATAACTCTTCGCTAAATTACCATATGAAGTAAGTTGGTTAACAACAAATCCGTGATAAGTAAGAAATGTCCACAAGTTACTTAAAAATGCTACAAACGCAACAAAGTTACCGAAGATAAGCGCAATTAGCGTAAGCAACATGGCCAGTTAATAGAAGATTATTCAGGTAGGCAGAACAAACCAAATAAAGTGGAATGAAATTTAGACAGCTTAAAAAGACCTAGTTTGAGTGTAAGTTGGTTTAGCCCAACTGCGGTGAAGAAGCATCAAGAATGCAACATCAGCCTCAGCATGGGGCACACTTGATATTACACACACAGCTAGTAACACACTAAGGTCAATAAATGACATATATATTGAGACAATGATGGTGGTAACACGCTGAAAAATTTGCATCAGCAGTACGCCGGTATGCAGTACCGAATCTTCGCTGCCGCACAAACACAAACAGTCGCGCGAGGGCTCAGGATACTGCAAAAATCACCCCGACCATATGCAGGCTCGAACTCGCGGCGTCCGGTTTGCAAGGCAGGTTTGTGATCTCTAAGGACACTGAGGTTAATTTTCTACTCACAATGCCATAGTTTGAAAGGCATTTCTATCGAATCACATTAACTACTGGACGAAAGAGTGAATTCACAATGTTCAGCGATACAAGGTGCTCAGATCAGAAAAGTGGTTCCGTGGGTACGAATCCGCCAACGATAAACGGGTCATTTTTGCACACGAGAAGTTCAACCTTGGTAGTTTATTCTTCTGGAAGTTCGAATAGTCCGCTTCGAGCATCCCGTGATAGTCACCAACACGTGTGATCCAAGCAAAATTAGCAGTCAGATTGGGATACCGTATTCAAAGTTTTGTAAATACCACGCATGAAAGTATGCAATACTTAGACTAAGGTGTCAGAAAACAGAATTATCGGATGTGAAGTCAAGGCACCCGGATCTGGTGCCAACCCGGTACACTTCCAAATGAGACTCAACAAGAAGAAACTTGGGAAAGGGAACAGACGCAGTTGGTATTGCCGCTCACAAAGAACAGAATAGAACCGAAACTGGGAGTTTTCGGTGTTGCAAGCCTCGACGTTGCACTGCGAGTCTAACTCACGGTTGACACCGGTTGTTACAAAAATTCGTAATCAGTGTCTGCTGTGTTGACTGTTTTCAACCAGGGGAGATTGGCACATCGTTAAGAGTGTATGTTGGGAACGGCGTTTTTGCCGGTATGAACAGAATTAGAAAATTTGCATACCAAATAGCCTGTTACCAATATCACAACAAGCTGAGCATGGACCAAACGACATTAACGTACCTAATCGATTGAGCATAGTCCGACGCAAAACGCTGCCACGATATGACTCGCACCAATCCCCAAGGAAGCTGTCCGATTAGAAATCTCCCAATCCCCAGGAAAGAGAACCTACTGTTACCTAAAAACATCAAATGAACTGTCATTTTCTTTCGGCTTCTTATGCACAAAGATCGGGACTTAAATCGCAGTCCACAAAAAGACATGAATAACATTTGGTCTTGAATGAGATCGACAACGGAGTTCGGCCGATCTGCTGGATTTGTGCCAGTCAAGAAGCTGAATAAGAGTAGTGAAAAGTACCACTCATACAAGACGAACGAAGAGCATCAACTTCAACCGGATCTGTAAGGCCAGTGCCTATTCGCCGTCGTCCTCCACTAATGCTCACCTCCGAGTTGTACGTGCGTGATTCCGTTCACGACTCCAGTCGGACTGATCGTGTTCCCTTCAAGCTCCTAAG